TCTAAAATGAAATATTGACTCAAATTTGAATCTAAACGTGCTGATTTGATAGCATTCTTAATAGCAAAATAAACACTTGATCCTAAAAATAGTGGTGGTTCACCTACTGCTTTAGATCCATACGTTGCTGTTCTACCACTTTGTGCAATTTTATCCATCATATTATTACTATTATTCATATTAATAGTCTTGACATTATCATTTCCATTATTACTATTCATATTATTGTGATCTAATAAATGAATATTAAATTGCATTGGTATATCATTAGCAGATGGTATTTTATATGCACCTGGACCACGTGTAAAAACAGAACCTTGTTGAAACCATTGATGATTTTCATCACCATAAATGAATTCTTCCATTGTGTATAAACCCATTCCCTGAATGAATGCACCTTCAATTTGACCAATATCAATAGCTGGATTTAAACTATTACCTAAATCCATTACAATATCACTTCTAATAACACTCCAATCACCTGTTAATGTATCAATTTCAACTTCACTAGCTGCACATCCATATGTAAAATAATTAAATGGTTTACCTTCTCCTTTATTCCAATCCATCCAAACATCTTTACTTGTACTATAATATCCTGTTGCACTTAATGATATATCTCCTTGGAAATAGGCATTCTTAATTAATTCTTTCCATTCTTCACTTGTTAATTTAGGTGGTAATCTTTCCAAATCTTGTTTTATAATTGTATTTAAATCTTCTCTTATTATACTATTATCTAAATTATTTATATTATTATTTGTATTATTTAAATTTATATTATTATTATTTAAATTATTATTCATATTATTAATATTATTTAAATTAAAATGATCATTTTCATCATAATATAAATGAGGAAATAATTTTCTTTTTAAAGAATCTAATCTATTATTTAAAGTTTGACATGCTTTAATAACAGCTTGACCATATAAATCTGAAGAAACAGAAGCAGCAGTAGCAGATGTATTTGGTACTTTATCAGTACTTGTATCAGATAAATGTATAAATTCTAATGGTATACCTAATGTAGTTGAAACACATTGAATCATTTTAATAAATAAACCTTGACCCATACATACACCAACTATACTTAATAAAACACTTGCATCATTAAAAT